CATGGCGCGAGTTGGTGAGGTGTTGGCTTGTCACAGACGACACCTCTTGCTGCCCGACGACCTCTTCCTTTTCTGCCCGGCAGTCTTTCTGCGCCTAGACTCTACCAAGACGTCTCTGCGCGGAAGGCCCAAGGTACAGCATATACGCATCGACGACGCCCGAGCTTTGGTGCTCATAAAAGCGGCCTTCGCCGACCTTGACCCGGACGACATGCTCTACCCCTTCAGCCCTGCGGCCTTTCGCACCAGGTGGGACCGCTCGCTGGAGGCTCTGGGGCTGCAAGGCCTGGTGTCTGTGACTCCTGGTGGGCTTCGCGGAGGAGGCGCCGTCTCTGCTTATCATCGAGGCTGCCCTGTTGCGGACATACAGTGGAAGCTTCGCTTGAAGCACATGGCTACCTTAGAGCACTACCTCCAAGAAGTGGCGGCCTTGAGTGCACTAGAGAGTGCTTCTGAAGATGCGAAAACCACACTGCGCTCGGTGCTGCAACTTTTTCCTTTTCTGGTTTAAAAGACCTGGCTACCGTCGACTGCGGTCTCCGGACCCTGGAGCATTGGACACTCGTCTGCTGCCCTTCTTCGCAGACCGGTTCTGGTCAGTGGTGGAACAGCCTGTGGCTTTACGAAGCACCACACTTTGTGCTGCTGCCTTGTGCTAAAGCACCTCTTTGTAGTGGTTGCCAGCCTGGGCTCTCTTCGCGAAAGCCGCGAGACACACTGCTTTACAACCGGCGGCGCAGCCAAAAAGACCGAGGTGAGGGAGCTGTCAAACATGTCATTGCCCGGTGTTTCGTTAGAACACTATAAAGATATCTGCGTGGTTCGTGTCTGCTGCCATATTGATTGGTCATTTCTGGTGATGCTTAGCAAATTTGCTCCACAAGCTGCGGAAACTTTCCGCCCGTGCAGTCGAGGATCTTGTTCGCCAGAGGCACAGCTTTGAACTTGTGCGCATGAACACGGCAATATCACTCCTGATGCAGCTGTGGTTCGTGCTCAAAAGTTGACGTGCCGGTAGAAGCAATCTCGACAGCAAATCCTGAACAGTGACTCACCGATAATGTCCAGAGATACATTCATTGCGATTACGATTGCCGTGGAAAAGTCCGTAAGTAGTTTGTCTCCGATGTTTTGGCATGCTGCATCCAAGCGATATTCTCAGCGGTTTAGGTGCATGCAAACATGCATGTTGATTCTTTAATGCGATAATAGTAGCAGTAGTTTTACTGCTAATTATCGTCATCATAGTCACCATATTGATAATTAGAGCAATAATGTGGAATCGATCTAGTTGGCCGTGTGCTGCTGAGGTACTCGGCCCCAGGATTGTCATCTCAATCCCAGGAGGTGGGGGTGTGTTTTGATTTCAAGCTCGAGCTTGATTGGGGATGCAACGAACAAGCTTGAGCGCACTCGTTGTTAGTGAAGCTCGAGCCCCATGCAGCTGCAATCTGTGAGGATGGCCGTCCGGCGCAAAAGGCCGTCAAAGCAGAGTTCCATGTGTAGTCTTGCGTGTCATGTGGAAAGCCCCGATTCAATTTTCCCCAGCTGAAATCTCGGACCGTAATCCCGTATCTTTACCGCAGTTTTTTCCCAGACACAGGCATCGTTGTGAATTTCCTGGGTGCCAGGCTGCGCCAGCGTCGCTGTGGCAGCTGCGTGGCAACGAATCAGATCAAGCGAGGCATGGCTTCATCAGCCAAAGTTACATGTTCAGTACTTTGACAAGGAAGTAGATGGTAGCAATTATGCAGACATATTGGACCATGGTTTCAGGAAGTCACCAAATGATACATGTATGCAATTGTTGTGCGTTATATCACAGCTTGCAACATAGTATTTGTCCCTCCATATATATATATATACACATACACCATAAGATGTGGCAAAACAAACATGTGAGACTTATATCTACACAGAAACATCGGGTATACATGTAATTATGCATTTAAGCATATATGTTTATCCAACTTTGCAACAGTACATGTATACATGTATGCATACGTACGCACATACATCCATCCATCCATACTTACATACACGCATACATGCGTGCCTTTGCGTGTAAATATACACACACACACATAGAGACACACATGCACATACCAATATACATACATACATACATACGTACACACATACATATAAATAAATAAGTAGATAAATAGATAAATAAATAAACAAATAAATATAAATAAATAAATATATATATATATATATATATGCTTATATATATATATATATATTCATATGTGTGTATATGAATATACTTGCATACATACTTTCATAAATACATACATACATACATACATATATAATGCTTGCATACATACTTGCATACGTACATGCATACATACTTACATACATACATACATACATGCATGCATGCATGCATACATACATACATACATACATACATACACACATACATACATATATACATTACATAGGTTTGCATATAAGCAACTTTCAAAGTGTTGCGTCGTGTTGTTTTAGTTTTTTTGCTGTCGTTCATTTTGTGGCGACGGTGTTCTGCTGCCATTCTGTCTTCGTGCAGGTGCACTGACACATGTACAACTACGCTTGCACAAAGAGGTCATTTGTTTGTTGTACGGTACCTGTTTATGTTGTGTTGCATTGTGTCATGCTCAGTATCCCGCATTGGGCTTACTTTATCTGGACTATGTTACCATGTTTATACGCGAAGACGTACCTGGAATGCAGTTGTTATCAAATCTACAAACATGTTCGTATTTTGTAAAGTGATACAACCGTGTACGTGTGTATAGCCTGTATAGCATTATGTCCGACCCGGTAGTGCTACCAAACGTTGGAACACATGAAAACTATGGAAATTCCAGGTACAAGAAAAGCAAGGGGCAAATAGGAAACAATAGGAGAAACATAGTAAGAACGCAGGAAGCATAGCAAAACAAGAAGTTCCATAGGGAAAAACAAGAAAACATAGGAACTTAATAAAAAATGATAGGAAAGCCTAGGAGACGTAGGACACATTTGGAAAAGAATAGGAAAAATGCAGGGCCACAGGGTGGAAAGGGGCGCAGGGAAGGCGGGCCGGGGTTCAATTTTTCCAGATGTTTTTTTCTCCATTTTTCCTATGCTATCTTTGTCCGAAAAGCCAGGATTCCGTTTTTTTTGTTATGTTCGTCCTGTTTTGGGCCACTTGCGATCTGACTAAAGTTAGCACAAAAGTCTTACATAAGTATAGCAATACCTACCCACCCGCCTAGGTCTGCGTACTTACATGTATGCATGCTACATAACTGGCAATATATAATTGTACATAGTTCTATATACGTATGCATGAGAACAAAATGTTCAAACATGCACATACTTCGGGTTGTCTACGGTGCAAATCGTTGTTGATTTGGTATGTTCAGGTTTGCTTGGTGCATGTCCCTTCCTGGAAGGTCAATAGCGGCTGCTGGCCCGTTTCATCATGACCAGGAAGCCTGGACACCCCAAAGGCTCGCATCCAGTGCATTCTATTCAATCGTTGCACTTCCGGAACCTCCCCTAGCCGAGAAGGTGAATGCCGCACCCAGATCTGTCTGTGGGTTTCTGGTATTTCATGCTTGAGGCCTCCAGTCGCACCTCTCAGCGGTTTACAGGCGCAGCGTGCCATTTTCTTCAGAAGGGCTTCGGGACGTCTGCGGGAGTTTAAGGGATGGCTGCTTGGTTTTTACTTCTGTGGGACGGTTTTGGCCAACCTTCTGGTGGTTGTGAGCGCTGGCAGTACAAGTATTTGCTTCGATAGGGACGTTTGGTTCGGCTCCATTCACACTGAGCTGCTGCTGGAAGGCAGGTGCATCGCGCCACTCGCAGAGCACACCCAGGCCGGGGTGGTGTGCAGAGTTGGCAAGTCTTCTGAATGCGATTTGTGGAGGCACTGCGTGTTGGTACGCCGGACTCGTTGTCGTGATTTCTGCAGACGTTAAGCCTTTAGTGCCCACTGGCGCCTTACGGTGCCCTTCGACAGTCTCAGGCTCAAAGCCAGGCCTGGAGGGTAAAGGCTCTGTGGGGCTTCCCTAAACCCTAAACCCTAAACCCTAAACCCTAAACCCTAAACTTTCTGCAACTGCCAGCAGGTCAGGGTATCTTGGCCAACCAGAGCTGAGGCCTGGATCCTCAGTTTGCATGGCTAACGCCTCGTCTGCAGCGACGCTTCAAGGCTTTAGGGCTCCCCTTTGCTGCTTTTTACCACGTAGGGCCAACATGAGGCTTTCCGTTGCGGAGGAATTTGTGCCGGCATGCTGCAGGGGACAGGGTTGATGATTATCTCGAGTCTGTTCCAAAGCTCCTGAACCCCTGGCCGAGCTTTGACAAGCGCTTGTGCACAATGTAGCTTTGTGCCTAAACTTTTTTTTTGGAGAGGAGTTGCCAGCCTGGGTGCTCTCTTCGCAAAGAATGTTTTTTTTGCAGAAATGTAATGTTCGAGCTCCAGGCAGAGCACAAAAGTTTCGCAACTGGCGCTTGGACATCGATTTTCAACGTTGAGCAGCTCGTGTGCTGTTGGATCTTGCAGCTATTGAGCCGGCTTTTGAGAGCTTCGAAGCTGTTGCAGCTGGTCGTGTAAGTGTGCGGCTGTTGCATCGAGGTTTTGATGTTTTCATGCCCCATTGAATTTACATAAGCCATCCAGGCCAGAACCCAACATACATTGATCAGGGTCTCCTGGCCGAGCTTGGAGATCGACCGTGCAGACGTGGAGGCATTGAACTGGTGGTCGGCCCCTGCGCGGTTCCAAATTTGAGATGTGCCGAGATGTGTGGGCTGTGTGCCTTTCTTCTTATCGGTGACTTGTCAGAGCAGCCAACTGTAAGGTTAAGGCAGCTTCGATAATAATAATAATAATAATACTGATAATATTAATAAGACTAATAAGACTAATAATAGTAATACTACTAGTAATAATAATAATAATAGTACTAATAATACTACTAATAATAATTACTGTGAGCACAATGTTCTGTCCTGCTATGCCAGGTTCTCCGAGGTGGAGTCACACCTTGCATCTGCGCTCCCGGACGCAAGGCACCGTCAAGTTTGACGAAGTGCTCCGAAGCTTTCAGTTCCCTTATTAATTGGTATTGACCCGCCCGGGAACCCTCAAACCCTAAACCCTAAACCGTCAAACCCTCAGGCAACCCTAAACCGTGTACCGAATCTACCGACTTGGTTCAGGTGTCCCTTCCCATGGCTGCAAGATGTGGACGGGGCTCAGGTGGACGAGGCCCGGCCCGTGCAACGTGTCAAATTGGAATAGTGTGCCATATACATATATATATATATATAAATATGTCTAAGAAACGCCTGAGTAAGTAAGTAAATAAATAGACAAATAAATACATACTTAAATATACTTATAAACATAATAGAAATAAATAAATAAATAAATATATATATATATATAGATATGTATATATATATATACACATACATCTATATATCTGCACTTTTTTGATATGGTTCCTCTTGACATATATACTTACACATACAGTTCATGTTTGGGTACCTATACAATATGTATTTACATATATGCATATAAGACATATTGAAATTACAGTTTCCTTTCCACAGTTTCACTGCGTACTAACACACTATTTGGAACAAGCCTGACCCGGGTTGTCAGACGGCCAGTTGCCGATGCTTCAAGAAGCCTCTTTCTTGAAGTAGGTCTTGGAGGAGCTCTCCGACTCTTTCACCTTCAAGGATTTCAGAAAGGCACAGTCGGTTCGGTGCAGTGGTCAGTGGTCTTGAAGCTTACTGTAGCCTGTGCTGAGCCATGCGCAGAACTGGCACAGGGCTGGAACTATGCAGACTATTCCGAGTTCCCCAAATGGCACGAGGCATCGATCTTTCCTCACTTGCTTCTTCAGTTGCTATTCCGTGCTTTGTGGAGCAACCAGTGTTCTCGAGGAGCGAATGAAGCGTTTGTGCGCCACTACACAGGCGGAGGCCTGCTCTTGTTTCATGACTGCCAAATGAAGGTGGATCGCATTTCGGCGGTCATCCTTTTTCTTCACAAGCCAGGCAGTGCAAAGTTTAACAGCTGTCCCAAACATGCCAGAGCCAAACAACCTTTCCATTGCAAAACTCCGAGATTGGTCTGGAGTTGTTGTGCAGTTCGGTGCTGATGATACACTACCATGCCGACTACGATGTCGCCTGTAACTGCTAAACCGACAGCGACCAGTAGGACGACGACCAATACTTCGACTTCTGCTTGTGCAGAGCTTGTACCGGCTTATATATATATATATATGTGTGTGTGTGTGTGTCTGTGTTTGTGTGTGTGTGTGTTATCGACTGCTGTGTACCACTAGCAGGTTTTTGAGTGTCGCCATTCTTGCTATTGTATCTGTTGGTCATCACCGCTGCCATCCCTACTACTGTTATTGTCATGATTGTTCTTTTTATCATATGGGTTGAATTACAATTATCATAATCATTGCTTTTGCAATTTCAGAGTATCGTCTTTGGGTTTAACCATGATCAAGACCACCCCAAGATGTTCATCGTCACAGGAACCATCATCATCCTCACGCTAAACCCTAAACCCTGAACCCTAAACCCTAAACCCTATACCCTAAACCCTAAACCCTAAATCCTAAAGTGCGAAGCGTGGGAGTTGCAGCTTTCAGGGTCTCCGGTCCTTGGCATGAGCCAAAAGCCCCCCAGCGAAGGGCGGAACCCAGAAGAGAAGTCTAATGTAGATTCCAGCTTGGGGGTTCCTTCGTATAATTATAGTATAGCTGTAATGTCGGGGCCATAATAATTAGAACAGGGTTTTGGGGGTTCCTTATTATAAGTTATAGTATAATGGACCCCAAAACCTTCTTCTAAGTATTAAGGCCCCGATATTATCGAGCCCTTCTAGTAACCCCTATGGTATCCCTTTTGAGGAACCCCTATTCTAATTTATGAAGGCCCCTATATTCAACCCATGCTGACCCTAAACCCTAAACCCTAAAGCCTATACCCTAAACCCCTAAACCCTATACCCTAAACCCCTAAACCATAAACCCTAAACCTATGAAGGCCCCTAAAAAAAGAGAAGACTCAAAAGAGCCCCGGCCAGGCTCAGCCTCTCGCTCCGCTGGGACTTGGAGGCGCGGTTGCCAGGAAGTCCAAAGCAGACACCTTGGAGTTCTCCCTTCCGGCGCCTTTCAGGTTTAGGGTTTTGGGCTTTGGGTTTGGGGTTTAGGGTTTAGGATTTAGGGTTTGGGGTTTGGGGTCTAGGGTTTGGGGTTCAGGGTTTAGGGTTTCCTGCAGTTTCAGCCCCGGAGTCCTTCTTGATCAAAGAGTTTTCAGGACGCACGCCTCGGAGATCGCAGTCGCATCCGACGGTGCAGTCACCTCAGGCCAAGAGGTCCGGGCTGCTCATTACTCGTAGGTTCATGGGACTTAGTAAGGTTATAAGTCCCCTAATTGGGGTTATAAGTATAGTTGCCTTAGTTAGAACTCTACTTACTAAGTCCCATGATCCTTTAAGTAGATCTTGGCTCAAGGGATAGATGCCCCCAAGAATCCTAAGCAGAAGCTCTCTGCAGATCATGAAAGCATCAGCTTGTTGTAGGTTGCATACAACTTGAAGGAACGTAGCTTCAAGACCTTCCAAAAAAAGGAGAAGTAGATCGGTTCGCCGGTGGCTCCGGCAGTAATCGTCCTGATATGTCTTGAGCCGGTCCGAGGATCCCCAGCCGAACCCCTGCCGAAGCCCTTGACCTGCCTTGCCTGCGCTGAGGTCGCTGCCGCCTTGGCGGGACCGGCGGGAGGGCAGGCCGTGGCAACGTGGGGAGCAGCGGTGACACGACTACGTTGGTTGCAACATACTGACAGTTAGAATTTGCGAGCATCTCCATTGCAAAGCAGCTGCTCGCACCGGCAGGTGTCGCAACTCGGCGCCGGTTCTAGGCAAAGCGCTCGGGAATTGTAATCATTTTCTTGGGGCCGCTGACGTTCGGACCGTCCGGCTGCCGCCCACGAGGCTTTATATCCCATCGAACGGCGTCGCTGACCCCCAGGCTACAGCCGAAACCTCAGTGCAGTCCTACTACAGGATGTAGCCGAGACGAGGACGACCACAGGGAGCTGCAACAGTTGCTCGCATGCAAGCTGCGTGCGCAACCGGTATGCATTACTGTCTCCATCAAGTGTGAGGCCCACAGATGAAATGTCCGTGGGGGATGATGGGCCCTCAGATGTACATTCAAACGTTCTGCGAGAAAGCAACAGCACGGGCAGATGAGATGGATCAGCTTTCCTGAGATCATTTGCAGGTTGGTGTTGGGAACTTGCGGCTCTTGGCGAGGGAGCCGAGCCGAGCTGACACTCTTTGCTCCCGCGATTTCGCTGCAAACATAGGAAGCTTGCTGCGTAGTGCTGGTACTCTGGAAAGCGTATTCCGTCTAAGCACCGCAGCACAGCGGTTCTGCAAACCTAAATGCTGAGCTGAAGTATCGAGGAACCTAAGGGCTCCAAGCTTCAGGGGCACAAAAGCGGAGCCAAACTTCTCTCTTTGTCCCCGGAGCCAGGCGACTGGAAGCCGCGGGGACTGCGCCGGAATCTGAGAAAGGTGGAGCGGTGGAGGCTTTGTCGATGCAGGGTAACGGTTCATAAGTTATAAGTGGCAAGGGTTCACAACGTCAGGCTTATATAGTTGGCTTAACCAAGGGGCTTTGGAGAATTGTTTTCAACTAAGACAGGGGCGAAACCGGTTCTTAACAGTGGCCTGGTGCTGAGAAAAGAAAAGAAGCTGCTTGTGTGTGCCCTGGTTTGATAGCTTCACACTCTGAGAAGTTTCCCAACAGAGACTAGGAGCACAGGCGGGTTGTGCCCGGTGTCTGCTTCGTTCTTTCGATAGCCGAGGTCAGTGCCACTCCGCTCGCTGACTGCCACCTAACCGTGCCAAAGTTGCCGGGAAAGACTTCTGCTGCCGGCTGCCGGCTGATTGCGGGAGGAAAAGCTTGCGACGGCTTCGCACAGAGAGTGCCCCCTCCCGTGCTGAACCGGCGTGCAACCGCAGCGCATCTACGAAGTCCAAAATTCTGCGCTGCCGGGTTGCTGGGACATAAAGCTGGCGAGAACACAGGCAGAGTCTGCCCAACGAAAGCACGGGTCGTTCTGCTTCGGGTGCATCTTTGATTGCGATTGTAAGCAAGAGAAGGGCATGCATGAACTGGTTCGTCCCGGGCGCTGCTTTGCATCAAACGGATGGCTGTCACCATCTGTCACCCGTTTCCTTTGTAGCCTGTGGTTTGTTTTGATTATTTCATAGTAAAGCTTTGGAAACAGTTAGACAAGAATATTGTGACACGTTGATGAACTATTAACCGAAGAAAGTGAAAGCGGACGATGGCAAAGCACCCGAACTTGGCAAGTGTCCAGATGCCCCTACTTGTCAGCCTACCCTCGCAGGCGCCCCAGCAGTAGTCCTTGCACTAGGATTTCCGGACCCAAATCTTTTCATGGAGCCTCCTGAAGTACATGGAGGCCGGAAGGCTTTCTTCAGCTTCGAACCCCCCCTTGAGGCCCGAGCCTCAACCGAACTCGGCTCCCTGGGTCTTCAGGTGGAAGCTTCTGACGAGGCCGGGGTTCCGGGCCATGGAGTAGGTGCCAGTCTTGCTCTTGCTCTCAGGTTTCATGTAAGAGTCCCTGCAGGACTTCTGGGAACGGGTCTCCTCCGCCGAGCCGTCGCAGGGGTCGGTGCCTGAGCTCTTACCGTGCTGATGGACCAACCGATGTTTGACCTCGTAATCTGGGCCTTGGCGAAGAAAACCGCAGCAAAACCCTGTAAACCCAAAGCCCTGCCTATCGAGATGGTTGAGCGTGAGCTCAGCGCACTCAACTATGGAGTTCATGTGGTCAACTGCAAGAGGCTCCTCGCCAGCTGGGAAGCTCCCTAAACCTCCCTAAGCCCTACGCCCCCAAACCCTCATAGAACCCTT